ATTTAACTACTATCGTAATTCTTCTAATTAGTTGTCGTTTTCTCCTTCTCTAAATAGGAAGGGAAATACGTAGCCTACGTAGTCGTACGTATAGCTATTTTCTTTATCCTCGTATTTATCCTAGGTATATTTATAGATTATTATATAGATTCTTTCTTTCTTTAGTTATCCTAGGGGATTATACTATATCCCGGGGTTTTCTACTAGTCCTACTACCTAGTAGTAGGTCCGGATAATTACTAGGTCGAGCTTATTTAGTATAATCTTATCCGCGGGTCCTTTTTCTATTATAGATATATTATAGTAAGGCGGTAGTAGCGTTACCGTCCTTAAGCTAAATAGTCCTTACTTAAGCTAAACTAGCTATCCTTCCGTATAGGTTACTCCTTTACCGAGTCCTTTAAAGGTTATAAAGTAAGCTTCTCCGTTATACGTATTATACGTATATTTAGCTTATAAGAAGTATTCCTAGTCGTTATATTTCTAGATCTATATATATTTTTATTCTCTTCTAGGAGTAGCGCCTAAGTTATAACGATATAGGGTTTCTCCTTCCCTTCTATCCTAGAAATATATATAGAATTCCGTAGAGTTCTTATATTATCGTAATATCTCGTCTATCGATATCTATTCGTCTTCTTCTCGCTAGATTCTTAGTTAATATAGTTCTTCGTCTTTCGTATACGTATAGGTATATTTATATTATTAGTATCCTCGAGTTCGGTACTTATAGATTAACGCCGTTCTAAACGTTTCCTACGTTACTCTTCTATTTAATACTATAACTCCGTTAACTATCTTCTAGAACCTTATTCTAATTATTATATAGTTATCTATATTTATAAATACCGTTTCTTTTTCGAAATCGGCTATTATTATAGCTAGGATTTCCTAAATCCTCTATTTCTATTCTCGAGGTTTTATACTTCCTCTATCTTTATATAGAAACTACTATTTTTCGGTCTTTAAAGCTAAGTAGAGTAGATAGTTATCCTCGTAATAGAAATACTATAATTCTTAAGCGTATTTTACGATATTTCTCCTCGTATTATATATTACTTCGCTCTACTATTCTCTCTTTAGGAGTTCGTCGAACTTTTCTTTTTTCTAAGTCTTACGCTTAGGTTCCTTAGGTTTCTTAGTCTAGTATCTTAACTAGAAATCTTCTTCTAATTACTTAGTATTTAACTTACCTAACCCTCGGGAGTTATTCGATTCCTAGTAGTCCTTCTATACTAGTTTACTCTTACCCTCGGTAGATCTTTAGGTTTCTTTAATAGTATCGGCCTTTTTCGCTATTAAGCCGTCTATACTATCGCTCTATATATTTATTATATATAGTCCTCGAGCGCTCTTTTTCTCTAGGTAATTACGTATATAATATCCGGACTTACTATATTTGTAGTATAGGTTTTCCTTCCTTTATCTTTCCTTTTCTCGATCGCGTCCTCCTATAACCTTTCGTCCTATATTTCGGCTTCTACCTAGGCCTATTCGTCGGATATTATAACGTTCTATAGCGTCTAGGTCTATAGGGTTTTCGTAGTCTCGTAGGCGTTTCGTATTAGCTCGAGGAAAATATCGATACCCCCGATACCCTCGTCTTCCTAAGCTCTTTCCTTAATTATCTTCTATATATAGTTCGTAAAGTCGATTATTAAGTTTAATAGCTTTATCTACTATATCTTTATACGTTTCCGGGCGCTCTATTATTTCCTTCCTAACCTCCTTCTTTAATCTATTATAGAACGTATCCTTAAAGATATTATCGTTCGTATACTCTAGTTCTTTCGCTAGTTTCTTAAATTCCGAATAATAATTAGCTATAGATCTCGTTTATTTAAGGGTATAGATAGTACGAGAGGCTACTACTACCTCGTTAATTATACTATAGATCTATTTAATTATTATTTCGAATTATATAAAGTTCCTAAAGTACGCCTTAGTTTCGTCGTCGGGGTTAGAGGACTCGAGGTAGTCGTCCTATACTAGTTTAAACTAATAGAACGCCGCCCCCTTAAAGTATATTACTACGAATATAACCTTATCCTCTACCCTAGTATACTTAGCTAAATTAAGCTTAAAGGTAGTCTTAAGTTATATAAGGAAGTATCCTAGCTTCTCCCTATTTCTATAGAATAGTTTTACCTTAATACTATCCCGAGATATATTAGTAAGTTCTAGTACGTTAACTATATCTACGTCGGAGTCTTCGTTAGAACTACTATCTTAAACGATATTAGTCTTTAAAGAATTATTTAAGGCTATAAGTAGACGTACGCTAGGTAGTAGGGATCTAAGTCGAGATAATCCTACGTTAGACATCTAATACTAATTAAGTAGTAGTTAAAGTGTTATAATCCGAGCTGTAAGTAGTTCTAACTAAGGGAGGGTTCCTTAATAGAGTGGGTACTAGAGTGTTAACTAAGACGATAAAGGGAATACTTATTCGTTAGACTATATCCTAAAATGTAGGTATAGGATTACTAACGAAGTTAACTACGATCTATCTTTAATATAGGTAGCGGGCGTATATATATAGTGCTAGTAGCTCTCTTAGATCTCGTAGCTCCCTTAGATCTCTTAAGATCCCATGGGATCTAGGGGATCCAGGAGATCCAGCCTCTCCCTAGTCACGTGACTTAGCCTCGTTCTCCATCGGCTAACTTCCCCCCTAAGTAGGTGCCTTGATTCCCTTGGCGACCTTTTAAGTGACCTAGTTCGTAACATATACGCTCCTTTACCTAGATAGTATAGTTCGTAGTTAACTTCGTTAGTAATCCTATACCTATATTTAGGATATAGTTCGACGATTAATATTCCCTTTATTATCCTAGTTAACACTCTTATATCTACTCTATTAAGGAACCCTACCTTAGTTAGAGCTACTTATAGCTCGGATTATAATAATATAGTCCGACGATTAAAGATTCCCTCTATTATCCTAGTTAGATACTCTTATGTCCACTCTATTAAGAAAACCTTACCTTAGTTAGAACTACTTATAGCTCGGATTATTATAAGTAGCGTATAGTAATCGACTATAATATTGTCTTTACGAGTATCGAGACGATATAGTAGGCGAGGCAAGGCATGGAGGCTTTATAGGCGACAACGAGGTCGACATCTCGCTTGCTTACAAGGAATACTACACAGGATGGATAGTTAGACAAGACACTCGCTCCGTATATACATTAATTTAGTATTAATGACGTTGTAGAGTAGATAAATACGATTATATGGACTGGTGGCAAAGTGCGACGCGTGGGTCATTACCCGGGTGGGTCATCAAGATTATCAGACGGGCAGAAAGTTCCGCGCGCCAAATCTATGGCACTTTATCAATCACAATGTGTACTGTAGAATGGTTGGTGCAGCTCTGGACATTCGAGTTCGGTGTCTAACTGGTCGGTAATGACTGGTCCAGGCGCTAAGCCGGTCACCGGCAATCTTCTTGTCCGCTCCGATACATGAATTAATACCCGATTTCTCTCTTTCAGCAAGTAAATGTACTTGTCGGCCATAAATGATCTACGTATGGCTAGATTGATCAAGCCTCCGCAGGTCTCGTGTCTCCGAGGCCCTGCGACACCCGCCACAGTCTTCTACTTTCGGTTTTAGCAAGGGCTATATTTTGATAGGAAATAATGAATACATGCTGGAGGACATTAATGCCAGCTTGACGTGCTATAAACGTTTTATACGTTGTAAATCAGGTCACTTGCGTCTCTGGGAGTCGCATTCTCACTCGAACTAAGCTTTCCATTTGTAAAGCTGTCATCCGACCACCGGACAATCGGGTGGATTGTGGCCCTCAACCAACTTTGAAAACCTTATAATGAACCTTGATTCTGTTCCCCTCTGCAAGGGACATGTGTCCCTTGCACACAAAGCAGGCATCGTTCACCCACGCCAACTGTGGGCTTCGGCTGTAGATCAGTGGCAGAGTATAGTAGTAATGGTCGTCGCCAGTACTCCCATCGCTTGACTGGTTGGCCATGGACGCAAGAAATGAAGGGGTGATAGCGACCTTGCCCATGTAGGCCAAATCCATGTTTAGGCCATCTTCACCTACAGCGTTGACGCGTGCATCAATGGTGATCGTTGCTCCGCTGGGCGGTGCTCTCATCCAGTCCGAGCCATTCACGACTTTCAAAGACAGAGATCCATCAGCAGAGGAGATCGTCCCTTCGATGACTGTGAATACATAGCAAACAAAGTTAGTATTCAGATTCAGTGGATGAACCCCAGGGCTGGGTTGAAGCTGTCAGCACTCACCTTGACCACATGAGATGTTAGTATACTTGGAGGGCCCGGCACCAAAATCCGCCGCCCCGTAAACAATGAGATCGAAGGCATGGGTTAGTTTGGGCGTGGACATAGTTGTAAACGTGATGGGTTTTCGCTGATCCTCTATCAAATCGCTGTTCCTCAAGCGTACGAGTCGCAAGCATGAAGCCAGATGCTTTGCATAATATGTATCGACCTTAGGTCGGCTTCGACTTTGACCCGAGGCGTCCAGGTGCTAGCCGCCCAGAGCATGGAGACACGAATCCCCGAGACACGAATCCCCGAGACACGAATCCCCGAGGAGGATCCTGATTTGCTATGCTCGCTCTGCACAAAAATGACGTTCTGAGAACTTCGGCATCAAGCGGTTGGGATTACTTATTTGCACGCAACCACTGTTCACCGGAAAGGGTGTGCTCGGTATCATGACAAATTCCGTAAGTCATTAGACCAAGGCACCAATGGCACCTGGAGTGAATTGTTCCTCTGGCGTGTGGGGAGAATTCCCCTTCGTTCATGTGGGTTTCGGAGTGGTGAGGATTTCCCCACCAGCTCCCCTCTTTGGGCGTTGCTGGGCATTTGGACGCAACCTGAAGCCAAGAAGGGCCGTACTCCGAGACGTATAAAGTTGCCAAATGCGCCAATCTTCCTTCTCTTTGGGATTTTAACCTTACACGTTGTTTTCTGATCGCGTTCGAGTCTCTTGCGACATGGACGCCCTATTATGCCTAGGATTGTCAGCCACCGAGGTAACAGGACTTCGCCGCTACCAGGGATATGAAGTTGCGCCGACTTGGCAAATATGTCTTAGCCTTTTCATTCTACAGTACTTCAGTCTGAAGTTTTATCGGATTGTCGTGTACCCAACCTGTGTTTCCCCATTGAGGCGGGTACCAGGACCCAAGGTGAGTGATTGTCAGGGTGTTGTTGCAACGATTCAGAGCACATGTCTCACATTGCGCACCTTTGCCCACGACTAATGGTGCCTCACCAACACCTGTGACAGGACGGCCACCCACTCATCGGCCATGCATACAAGTTATTCACAGCTTCACCCACCTCGTTGCAAGTTGCCTGGATGAGAGCAGACCCGAAAGCCACGTTCATCAGATATCTCAGTTTTAGGAATCGTGAGACCCTCATTCTCAACAGCCCTCAAGCACATCGAGAGGTCCTCCAGACCAACTGCTATGCATTCGTCAAGCCGGCGTTCTTGAAGCGCGTCATTGGCGACATGGCTGGGCACGGCATCATGTTCACTGAAGGGGATGCCCACAAGCGGGGTCGACGCCTGCTGGTCGGCCCGTTCTCACATAGAAATATCAAGCGGTTACTTCCAATATTCAATTTCAAGGCGAAGGAGATGGTTTCAGTACTTTCAAAGATTGTTGGGAATGAGTATCAACATGACGTGGAAGGTTGGTGTTCATGGGTATGGTAAGCAGGACTCTTACTGACATGTCTAGTGACTTCATGGCTCAATAAGACAACCCTTGACATTATCGGCATAGCCGTCCTTGGTTATCAGCTCGATGCTCTGACATCCCATTCGGCGTTTTCGGACGCCTATAACACAATGTTCGAATTGACACCCGTAGGCAACATGATAGCGGCCGTCAATGCTATTGTTCCTGTCCGCTCGTGGCTTCCGCTGAAGGCGAATTTCGAGTTCGTCCAAGCTAAGAAGACGGTCCGCACCCTCCTCAGGCAGCACATTCGAAGGCGAAAACAGGAAATTTTGGATGTCAAGCACTCCCTGGACACGGAGAACTCCCACTTGGATCTCCTTTCCCTGATCCTCAAAGAGAAGTCTGAGGGGCTTGCCCAATGGACAGAGGATGAAATCCTTGGAAATGTAAGTAAGGCATCGGTGCCACAACGTCAGGCGCCTGACTCATTCACACCATCACTGTCGGCAAGCGGCTAACAACGACTGCAGTTGATGAACTTTATGGTTGCTGGTAAGTTAAATCTCGAAGTGATAACGACGACATCATAGCGTGGACAGAAAAGTCCACATTTCCTTGCTTTTGCCCCCAGACTGAGCGATCAGTAACTTTCTTCAAGGGCACGAGACCACCGCTGGCGCATGTGCATGGGCTCTTCACGCCCTCTCTTTGAACGGACATATGCAGAAGCGACTTCGGGATGAAATTAACGTGAGCGTCCTGGAGGACACCGACCCAACAGTGGAGCAAATCGATGGTGCCCCTTTCTTGAATAACTTTGTGCTTGAGGTTCTTCGCTTCTACTCACCAGGTATGTTGTTTCACTCGCTCACAAAAGCGTCGGCGACATCGAAGAATACCATGCTAATAAGAGCACGTGAACTTATAGCAATATCTACACCCCGGGAGGCGGCTCGAGACGTTGTTATCTGCGGCCAGTTTCTGCCAAAAGGCACAATTATCGAAATCGTCCCTGCCATATTGGCCATGAACCCGACCGTATGGGGGCCTACCGTCGATCAATTTGATCCTGACCGCTTTGACAATTTGCCCCAGGAAGCCCGAGATCCATATGCCCAGCAGTCTTTCATTTCGGGCCCAAGGGTTTGCATTGGAAAGTCGTTCGCTCTCCTCGAGTTTAGAGCTCTGTTGGTACATTTGGTGAGGAATTTTGAAATTCAGTCGGTAGGAAACCCAGTCGAGTACCTTCGCGGCTCTCCCTCCCTACGTCCAGCTGGAGGTCTACATCTCAAAGTTACAAAGATCTGAAGACTCCCTGTATCATCGTTTAAGAAGATGGCTGAGCGAAGAAAGGCAATTATGATAACCGTGGGGATTTTCTTTTTTATTGTTTTTGCCTTGGGCCATTTTTGAGTCTCTATTGAGTCTTGCTGCGCTCACCATTACTGCTGAAATAAATTGAATATATACAACGTGAAAATTCGTGTCGCTCATGCAGTAATTCCTCTATATGTGTCAGAGTTAGTGAGGGCTATGTCCGGATCGGATTCTGGGAGTTCGGTGGGGGGAAGTTTTGTACCCGTCGACGACCATAGATGCACCAACCATAAAACTGCTCATGGAGGAACATAAAAAGCAGATTGCTTGTGCGATCTCGTCAGGATCAGCAAATCGGTTCAAAGCTACTTTAGCCCGCTCGCCCTCCAATGCTGCGGCGTTGGCCTGCATGGCTTCGGTATTGACAAAGCTTTATTCGGATGGTCAGAGCACATTCCACTAGAGGGCATTCCAGGTGACTTACCCAGGGCATATCGCATTAATACGAACACCGTGCCGCGCATATAGCTTGGCTTCCTTCATTTAACGGGATAGCTTCAGTTTCGTACACCAGAGACGTCGAGGGTTGGTTCCTTACCGCTCTGGTAAGACCGAGAACTCCATGTTTACTGAGCCAGATGTGTTAGCTCAACAAAATCTTGTTGGCCATGAGCCGCAAGGCATTTAGCGAAAACAAACCTTGCAGTGTATGCAACACACGGAACATCAGCAGAGGTTCCGACAAGGCCGTGTGTAGAAGCCATGTTCACGATGACTCCGCGGTCTCGTCTCCCACCAACCCTACAAGATCAAGTCAGCCGTTGTGGTGGATCTTTGAAACGAGAGTTGCAGAGTGCACACCCTGTCGGCGGCGGAATCGATTGTTTTTGCATGTGAACAAGTAGTTCTTTTTGGAGAGCAAATTGGCTGACGAGGTTGACGTTCAGAATGTGTTGCAGTTCGACGGGCGAGAAAGTCAGAGATGAGCCAATGGGGCCGGCAATCCCTACGTTACTGACAGCGTAATCGATGCGTTGGAACCGAGCTACTGCCTCCGCAACAGCTGTTGTCACTGCGTTATGATCGCTCATATCGACTTGGATGAACAAGCATTCTCTTTCACCGGGGACGTCCTTGAGTTTCTGAATCGTGAGTTCACCTCCTTCAGAATCCCTGTCCAACAAGGCAAACTTAGTCACTCCGTGTTTCGCCAGTGCAATGCAGGTGGCACGGCCGATTCCTGTTCGACTCGAGGGGGTGTTTCAGATTAGTACATGTCATTATCTCCCATCTGTTGCCTCGAAAGAGGTCCAATCGATGATGAGCCGGTCTTTGCGTACCTGAGGATGCTCCTGTTACGAGGGCAACACCGGACAGAAGGGAGTCCATGTCGGGAAAATGATATTTTTTACTTCTGCTGGGTGTCACTGGCCCAAAGATCGACCAGATTTATTCAGATGGGCAGGGGCGAAGAAAAAGGATCAAAGTCAGCCTGACTGGGCACACGATAAAATACTGGTCTTGTCGGTCGTTCGCATTGATAGAATATCGTGTCACGCCTAGGATCGAGGATGCCAGTCAAATAGGAGTAAGTGTCTGACACAGAGTGGTAGATAAGGGACGCGCTGCGAAACTGACTAACATTTTGTCAGCCACCTCTTAGGTTTAGTCAGGCATAAAATGCTACTAAATCTTGGGTCAAAAAGAATTCTCTCTGAGTTGCTTTAGCGTAGAGACCACTCTGCTAGACTGGTAGTTTACTAATCTGAGATCTTGCTAAAAGCTCTAAAATTACCTCCCAGAGAGCAGTAATATTTCAATGGACTTTTTGTGTGTCAGCCAAGCCTAATAAATGACGTGACGTCGTCGACGAAATATCGGACACGAACCGCTGGACGATCTGACACTTCAATCCCTGTCCGCCCTGACTTGATCCGCGTTACATACTGTACCACCCTAGCTTTGGCCTGCCATGACATAACGCATTATCTCTTCCCAGCCGATCCAATAAGGCCACTGCAGGCTGGGTGGGCAAGCTTGCCACCCAGTTTCGGGATCTACAATCCGAAAAGGCAAAAACGCCCTGGTAATGTCGGGGGTGTTTACATGCCTCCGAGAACTAAAATCTTCCCGAAACTCCGACTCACGGTCAGCTTGGACCTTTTCACTTCCTAGACACTTCCTTTCTCGGAATATATTATGTACACATTAGTAGCTAGCTTCGAACAGAACTTGAGAGGACAAGTCGACTATCGCCTCCCATAATCATGGACACCAAGAACTTCGAACAACCGCTCGAATCTGACTTGTGGATTCCCAAACCCAAGGACGGTGAGAAATGGGAGACGCACACCATTCACACGCATTACTTCGGATTCTCTGTCCCGGAGGAAAAGATAGGCGTATTCATCTACGTTCGCTATCTACCCGTCTTGGACGTGAACAGTGGTGGTGTCTGCGTTTTCCAAGGCATCGACAATGTGCACTTCCTGGACCTTGAACACATGAACTATCTCAACCATATGCCTTATCCTGTGAAGGACAGAAACACGATTAGTGTCGCGAATGGAATAACTTTAGACTTCATAGAGCCCGGTCGAAAAGTTCGTCTCACGTATAAAAGCAAGGACGAAAAAGTACACTTTGACGTGTTGCAAACAGCTGTCTCGCCGTTGTTCGCACGTGCTCATGTTATGCCTGGAGAGGAGGAGGATGGCAAAAAGGAGCTCACTCCTGGAGGAACTGAACAATTTATGCACTGCACAGGTGATTTAACTCTGTATGGAAAGACTTACAAGGTTGACTGTTACCCTGCCCGGGACCGATCCTGGAGACAAGTCCGCACCGAGGACGAGCAGAATGCGCCTCCATTTGGGTGGACGCCGATGTACTTTGGGCCGGATTTGTGCTTCAACTACTCTGGCTGGGAGGATCCCGATAAACACCCCATCTGGAAGGGCGTCTACCCAGTCGAAGAAAAGTCACCGTTCCTATTCGCTTGGTTGTTAGTTGATGGTAAATTGCGACACGCGAAGCGGGTTTCGCGCGAGGTGACCCGTTACCACCCAACGCTATTCTCGGCTATGGAACAGAATATTGAAGTTGAGGATGACCAGGGAGCAATCTGGCGTTTCAAGGGCGAGGCTATTGCAATGGCACAACTGCCATCTTGGCCCAACTTTCAGATTTTTGATAGTGTCTACAAATGGACCGATGAGAAGGGGCGGGTGACACATTGCGCTTTTCAAGAGGCTTGGTGGGCAAGGTTTCATCGTTACCGACATGGAAAGACCTGGGAACACATAGGGCTCGGCAAGCAAGAATAATAGCCTGATACGCTAGACGCCCCCTCTTTCCTACCTATGTCGCGGCTTCGGCCGCTCAGTTGGTGTGGAGAGCCCATAGAATCGGGGTTAGGGAGATTATAGAACAACTGGTCTCTCAAGGTTGTTTAAAGTGGTACTTGTGCAATGCAGAGGCTGATGTTATAGAGCTCTCTATGCTATTTCGAGTGCGTTTCCACCGGCTCATTTGATCCAGCTACGGACCGAAAGAAAGTGATTCTACCACCTCATCATTTCTGCTTTTATCGCGGGCGTGAAACCCCTCCTACTTGAAGCAGAAATGGTTAAAACAAAAACTTCGAATCTGGCAAACAGACCGCTGATTCTGTGTTTTAATTTTGGGGTACTTTTTTGAAGCGTCCAAGTACTCTGTCCAGTTTTCAATGAGCTGTCGTTTGATAATCTCCACGACGAGCGATCCTGACTGGACGAGTCAAATTGCACACGATCCTCTCCAAACCGCTGTAGTCACAAGGGCTGGCTATGTACTTGAGGACGAAATGATGACAAGTGCTTGGAGTCCAATTATAAATGATGGCTCTCGATGTCTCGACAGGCGAGTATGGTGGTGCTATCTCATACACCATCAGCTTATATAGCCCGTGGACTTAATCTACATGAGATTCTGAGTCGTCTCCGAATGAACGGTGGTTCAGGTCTGTGCAAAGGGACGAGACGCGCAATATCAGGCGCTGCTCAAGCTGACAGGTCCCCTTCCCGATCCAGAACATAAGTTCCACGAGGGCGTCCTTTCCAGATCCTCGGCTGGCAATCATGGAAGCTGGCCATCACTTGAAGGAATGCTTCGAAAACAGAGATCCCGCCTCAAGCGTCACCATGGAAACAAACCTGAAGGTGTGTAAGACAAATTCAAATCACTCAAGAAAGCTCTTCATTCGGCATACGATTGCCGTCAGCCACCAAAATGCACACACAGACCTTGTGCACACTTTTCCGCTGCCTATTAGCCCCATCTTGTGTAGATTGCCGCTTTACAGAGACTCCAGTTTCGCTAACTGCAACTCGGACTCAAATCCGTATAGATTGTGCTCTATGGGGTTCTTCCTTGGACGTCTGCTGTGCTCAACTCCTACGAGAAGACACCTGCAGGCTATCCCATCTTGAAGACCAACATGCGGCTGCATAAGTCGAAGCGAAAGTAGGTGGATGATTATCCCATGCGCGCTTCCATGAAAACTTGTTCGCTCCATGAGCCATCTTCCATCTGAGTTGTTCTGCCCACCTAAGGCTGTCACTGATGGAGTTTCTCCCACCACGGGATGGGTTGACTCGTGTTGCTCCGCTCCTGCTGTCCATTAGGTGGATATTTATACTCCTGTAGCTGCCAATGCTTGCTTGAAAGCATCCCTGCAGACTATGGTAGGCCTTTGTAGCATGCTCGGGTTTCAATGTAGCATTTTCAGTTCGCAAAAAGGCGTCCAGTTTGTGTCTCGCGCGATAAACAAGACTGAACACCACATTGCAGTGGCACCTAGCTATACCTAGAGATAAAGTGTGTAGGTTTAGCACCACCTTTCTACGATTTCACCCACCCACTTCCCTTGTACACCTTCCCCCCTCTCTGTTACTAGGCTGCTGCATTTAGATTTATATATAGCTCTAGCCGGCGCCCTGGTATGCTCCAACACAGTCTGCGGCCATAGTTGTCACTACATCTTGGCTGCTTCCTGACTTCCCTCGGCTTCTTTCAAGTTCTCCTGGTTAGAAGCCGGCTCTAGAGTGCCTGGGCGTGCCAAAAATCGAAGAAAGTATCACCGATCAAGAACAAAAATGGTGTATGACGAGTAATCTAATCACTAAAAGTCTGGCGAATTCCAAGTCTTAGTGACACAACGGAGTGTACGAGTAAATGACCGTTCGACAAATCAGCTAAAGAACCCCGTACAGGACTCTCCTCGCCCTTAGGCCCTCTGTGATAGTTGCGTTGGACTCAGCTCACAGCTTTCCGGCCTGAGTCGGAATGAATCAAAAGCAATTCATGAGTGAGCCAAGGACTTGGGAACCATGCGGTAAATACGCACAGGGGAGAACATGACTGGTCGGAGTGCAGTACAGTTGATTAGTCCGCATTATCGAGTCCATCCTCCGGACTGACGATTAGACTAGATTCATTATTGTGTAGCCTCGTGAATCCTCGATTTAATCTTGTAAAACTGATCTCCTTTCCCGCCATAATCTTTCTTTCGATAAATATCCAGAAGAAGTCCCCGGACTCGGAGTAGAGGCTCCAGACTCTCGAGGCCATGCATCCAAGATTCGGAGCCACGGGGCCACGACTCTTATGGCGCCGAGGAAGAAAATAATGACAGTGCTAGATTCGGCGACTATAGGAGCCCTTTCTCTAACAGTCATAGCCCGTCGCCAGCAGATTTTAGATTTCTTCGTTCGGCCTGGCAGGTCGAGTTTAGCTAGCGACTTTTGCGTCCTCGAACTTGCGCCTAGTGAGTAGCCTCCGAAACGCTGAGAACGCTAAAGTTGCCACTACGTGTATCGGGAAAACAGTCCGGTATTTTTACTCGGAGTGTTTTACAGCTGAGATGTGCGGGGCCCCGCAGCAGGTCGGTTCCAAACTATTGGGATCCTTGGCACAGCCTCTAAAAGGCAACACAAATCAAATTCACCAGGACTCATAAATGTGCTGCTCCTCAGACTCTCGGCCTGTCTCGTCCACCCTGCTCACTTTTAGCAATCTGCACGTTCGCTTCTTTCTTACCCTCACAATGTCGTCCTTAGAGGAGAAACCTCAGCCAAAGACAATGCCAGTTAATGCAATCACTCAATACGTAGAAAATGTCGCTACTCTAAATTCCAATGTCGACCAGCTCCCCAGAGGCTATTTCAAGAGCCCCCTGTTCATCGGCACGTATTTAGTGAGATCTCCTTCCAATCTTGGCGTCTAAAATCCCGTTTCGTAGCTGACTTGGAATCTACTGCAGGCTTGTGGACTCAGCTTACTCTGTGGAGCTGGGACATTTTCCTTGATCGCGCCGCTTCTGTCCTCGATCAATCGGGATATTGGCCCAAGTCCCAATTACGTATGGATCAGTCTTGCCTACCAGCTCTTATTGGGCGTCGGATGTACGTGCGACGAATGAAGAGGTATCTGATGTGACCTCAAACTGACTCTGTCCAGGCACACTGGTTGGTAGGGTTACTGACTTGTTCGGCCGTCGTTGGGTCTTCGTTGGCGGCTCATTTCTTGCTGTGATTGGGAATATCATCTGTGCAACAGCACCTGCCATTGGGGCATTGGTGGCAGGCATGACTATCGTTGGTGCAGGTACGTAGTGGCAGCATCCCAGCCTACCCGTGGCTAATAAGTTCAGCGACCGCGACACAGTTGTCTTTTGTCTTTGTACTGGGTGAACTCGTTCCCATGAAGCACAGGTACCTAGCCAATGCAGGACTCTACTTCATGTCAATTCCCTTTGCAGCATTTGGGCCTGCCATCAGCCTCAGCCTGGTGAACGACGCTGGTAGGGGCTGGAGATGGGTCTACTACATTCTCATCATTGTGAACGGCGTAACGACGGCTTTGTGGTTCTTCTTCTACCACCCTCCTACCTTCCATATGCTTAATAGGAACGCACGTGCGAAGAGAATGCTCAAAGATTTCGATTATGTCGGCTTCATCCTCTTCTCAGGTGGTCTAGCGACTATGCTTTTGGGGCTCTCCTGGGGCGGAGGCGTATATCGTAAGGCTCCAGTACTGATGTACACATCCACGGACGCTAACTTTAGATCCTATAGCATGGAAATCTGCTCATGTTATAGCCACCCTTGTAGTGGGAGGGGTCTCTTCTGTTGCATTCGTCCTCTATGAGGTGTATGCTCACCTCGAGCAACCATATGTTCCGATGCATCTGTTCAAAAACGCCGGGTGGGTCGCAGCAACTGTCGTGGTCTGCGTTGGAGCTATGGTCTACTATGCCTTCAGGTAAGTGTATTCTTGCCGGGTTTTCCGTTTAGAAATATTGACTAATTGATGGCTACAGTATCATTTGGCCGTTGATGGTTGTCAATTTATATGCTCCCAAGGCCTCTATTGTGGGATTGGTCAGCTGTGTTGTTAGTGGAATGGTGGTTGCCGCCGCTCTTGCAGGACTCGGAACAATTGGCCTCTTCAAGCAAACCAGATACTATCTTGCCATCAATTCGCTCATCGGCACTGCGCTACTTGCCGCCGTGTCAGTTGCGACTCAGCACAATGAATCAAGTGTTTTGGGACTGTTGATTCCTGGCATCTTTTTCATTGGTATTGCAGAAGCTGTTAGTTTGACGATGACTGGCATCGTTGTTAAGAATCAGGACGAAATTGGCACTGCCGTTGGTTTGTCCGCTTCATTGAGATCGTTGGCTGGAACCCTCGCGGCCTCGATCTACACTACAATTTTGACCAACCGACTCACGGAGACGATACCTGCCGAAGTCGCACCCGCAGCCATAGGAGCCGGGTTCCCTGAATCGTCTCTCCCTGATCTAATTGGTATACTGAGCGGTCTTATCAACCCTGACCAAGTTCCCGATGTTACCCCCGATATTTTGGCAGTGGCGACGGATGCCTACCGCACCGCCTTCTCCAAATCCATCAAAACCGTGTTTTTAGTCACTATTGCGTTCGGAGTCTTGTCCGTTGTTGCTAGCATGTTCTGTCCCAATAGGGATGATGCACTGAACGACCTGGTGATGAAGACTCTACACCGTCCGAAAGAAGAGAAAGGCCTGGAGAACGCCTTAAGAGTGGAGGAAGAGGCAAATAATTAGTGATAATTCGGCTTTAGTACCTGCGATTGGATAGTGAGAAGGGGTTTACATCGATCTGATGCCCCGTGAATTTGATCTACAACGGGTGGACCATATATCGACGGATTGCAAGCCATCTTATTCAACAGTACCGCCGTCCTGAACATTTGAAACGCGGCCCTTCACGGATATTCTCCTTAATTATAGTATCTCTGGGATGTAGCTCGTGAAAAGACGTTCGTTGTTTATAATTTGCCATTATGATCTAAACAAATCATTTACTAGAGACCATGCTCGAACTACTGTGTCCGTACTCTTCACTAGCTCATCGATGGCCCCATACATTGACATTGGGAAACTACCTTGATGCTCTGTAACTCCATCTTTGATAGTCGGATTGTGAAACCGCCTTGCGTGCGTTCTATCGTTTTTCGAGCACTGAAGAGTTATGGTTACAGCAGGAAGTCTGCCCAGCGCAGGCGTCGGTGGCTTCACATGGAGCCACGCGTACAGCAAATAATTTGAGAAAACGATCCCGGTTCCTCGAAATGTTTCTTAGTTGATTCCTCGCCCTAGATATTAGAATTCATCCAACTGGTGGCCTCCATGCCTTCCAGTATGAGGAGACGTCTAAGCCTATCGTACGCAGCTGAGATACTTGCCAAAAAAATTTCCTATTCAAAACTAAGTGGTGTCGTTGTCTGTCCACTTCTGCTACCTGCGATAAAGTAATTAGGTGCGAAGGGGTTGTTACGACATCAATTCTTCAAGTAATTTCGATCTACGACAAGGCTCATTGCGGTGTCATCTCACTTAAAAAATTGATTCTACTTTCCGTGCCCTTCCGCTACTTCGAGAGTGTTGCTATGATCTGACCTATACCAAATCTTATCTCGTCGAAGTTCCTGAGGTCCGAGTCCACACATAATTCATGATCGTATTGCGTAGTCGAAGCCGATAGTTAATCACGTTCCTATGTTCGCAGGATGCTCTTTGACAATCTTGAAAGCGTTTAAAGCACGTTCCGGGCTGTTTCCTGCGGGGTAGTGAAGTTAGAAACGCAGTGCTGCCCAACGTGTGCTATTTTAATGATTTGTGTGTATTTCCGAGGTCTTCCACATCGTAGTACTGGGAGGACATCCTCGTCAATCCCAACTGAGTATCTGTCGTAGGATGATCTCCTCTTCCTCCGGTCAAATTTCGAGAATAGGGCATTGATGCGAGCAGGCTCACCCATTGATTTTCAACTTAGCATCGTATGGTCAGTCTTGTGGATTCTTGCAGCTTTCCAAAGACTCAAATTTTAGTCCTGTTCAATAGCTCCGATCGCAAGCATTAGCCATGTTACTTATGGTTTAGTAGGCGTTGCCTATCGGCGGAAGCAGCTGTTCACCGTGTTCGTTGACTCCTGCGTTCGCGATAACGAAGTCGATGCCCTTGCCGAAGGTCTTCAGCGCAGTTTCAAACAATTGGATGAGACTCTGCCAGTTCAATATATTGCATTCTTGATAATCCACATTTCTATTGGACAACAGGGCATAATCGTCTGCTGGCACTCCCTGCAGATCACCCACGATGACATTACAGTTCAGTGATGCCAGAAGTTTGATCGTGGCGAGACCGATCCCAGAACATCCACCGGTGACGATTGCAGTCTTGTTGGCCGGACCCTCAAATGTAGCCTCGCCGATTTGAATCGAGTAGGAACCAGACATTTGTGCCAGATTTTCAGTACGATCGTGGAGGCGATTGAGTCCTTCGACAATCTTCGTTGATGTTCGTCCACTGGGACTCATATCGTGGTCGAGCTGGTTGGTTTTCTCCGCACTAAGATTGGGCCGGAGGGGGCCTCGGGACTTGTCGGCACCCAGAGTTTTGACCTATTAATCATCGGATCGTAAACAACGCAAATCACGGTTTATGTAATCTACCCATGTCACTATGCGCCACGGATGTCCACCTTGCTTTAGGAAGGCTAGCATGGAAATGAGGAGTCGACCATAGGTATTTCGGACCGAAACTACCGGGATATCGAACAAGCGGGATGCTAGGGCGTGCTTGAGATGAAGCATAAGATTCGAAACCTCGTCGCAATCTCGAGTAGTCAGACCCCCAAGACCGACTGTGCTCGTATTGTCCCTGTCATCCCCGTTAGGTTGCATTTTATTCAATATGCCTGCGTCCGATGCGGGGAAGCCGAACATCATCGTGGTTGGCGCTGGCTACGCTGGGCTGACGGCAGCGATCGAATGCGTTAGACATGGCATGCATGTCACAATCTTTGAATCAACATCTAAGCTCACTCTGCAAGGTGTGTGTATCTTCATCATCATTTCGTTCTCTCTGCCATGAGTGGGAATCAAGCTTACACCAAACAATAGGTGACATCATCCAGCTAGCAGCCAACTCGACCAGGGTGCTCGCGAAATGGGGAGATGTGTTAGCAGACATTCGTGCAGAGTCTTCGCTTCCGAAACAGATGCAATGCCACAACTCCAACGGCGAGCTTCTCATCGCTCAGGACCTACCACCGGATTTTGATGGTGCGCCAAATGTCTACACTAACCGCGGTCGAACGCAGAGGATCATGTATGAGTACGCAGCCTCCCTGGGAATCGAAGTCAAGTTTAACCATCGCGTGGTTGATTTCTTCGAAGACGAAGATGGAGCCGGTGTCGTCGTGGACGATAAGAAGTTCACGGCAGATGCTGTTCTCGTGGGCGATGGCGTCCACAGCAGAGCCCGAAGAGTGATTACAGGAAAGATAGAGTCGGCTAAGACGAGTGGCTTTGCTGTTTATCGATCTTGGTTTTCGTTAGATGCCCTCAAGAATGAGCCAATACTGGATGGTATTGTCAACTCCAAGGAAGACTTGTTCCTGGTTTGGATTGGTCCCAACACACATGCGATCGTTTTGACAAATGTAAACCTCAGGTCTCTGGTCTGCTTCTGTACCCACAAGGTAGTTACATTTATCTCATCAAGCAGTCTTCCACTGTGCCCGCAGCAGTTGAGTTGTATTCAAAATTATGATGTTACTAACTTTCTTCAACTCTAGGACGAATACGAGGTCATGGAATCCTGGAGCTTTCCTGGCAAGGTTAAGGATATGCTTGCAGCCGTTGATGGTTGGGATGAACGCCTTCGAGCCGTGATTAGGAACGTGCCACCGGAGGCGATCATTGACTGGAAGCTGCTATGGAGAGACCCAGCTCAGGTCTGGGTGTCAAAGCTCGGAAGAATGGCTCTCATTGGAGATTCAGCGCACCCTCATCTGCCAACTTCAGGTCAAGGAGCGGCACAGGCTATCGAGGATGGAGCCACAATTGGAGCATTGCTTGGTCGATCTGGGAAGGAAAAGCTACCGCAAGCGCTGCAAGCGTACCAGAAACTCCGGTAAGCTTCGCAGGCTCGCCGCATCTCTTGGTTGCTCATGGCAGAAACCAGATACTGACTGTATTGAAGTTACTATCGTACTGCCCTCACTCAGCGCATGGGGTGGGAGCTGCGACACTTCTGGCATAAAACCGACTGGGACCTGGTTGCGGCCCAACCTGAATTGCTCCAGATGCCCCAACCTCAATGGCTTTTCGGTGGAGACGCTGAAAAGCTGGTCGGTGAAAGTTACGACGAGGTCATGAAAGCTGTGGAGGAAGGTACGGATTTCAGGCCCGATAACCTGCCAAAAGCCTACGTGCACGAAGACTGGACTGTCGAGAGTATGATGGCCTTAGAGAAAGAACAAGCCAAGGCCTATGCTTCAGCCAGGGCATAAATTGGCGGGAAATAATAGAAGTTGCGCACTCAGTCTCATCCTCGCTATCCTGTGCCCTAGCCGCTTGTTAATGCCAGTGCTCTAACTCGAGGATACGTCTCGTGGGCTCTACTCGGAAGCTTCCTCTTCCAAATAAGCACGGTGTCAACCATATTGTATTTCTATTTCGCTGCAGCCTGGGAAATGCCAGAACAGCCAACTGTCTAGCTAAAAGCGAAGGCTGTTACCTAGTTGCTCACTCATAGGCCAATAGACTTAGCAAATGCAGCGTTATCAGAGGTACGGTCTATATCGTCCGAATGCTCGATTTCGCAGCGGGGACCGGACTCGATTCCCCTGATTTCAATAGATTCGCTCTAGGTTTTGGGATGGACTTGATTCTACAAAGGTACTCAACGGTCTGTATTCGGGATTAGGGACTACCGGACTATACTCCTAAACAGCGCTGAGCGAGGCTAACGGTAACAATGATATCAACGGGCCGTCACAAGGCTCATGTTAGCATTCAAAGTCTACGTGACACATTCCACTCGCTGTCCTGTGCAGGTTGTCAGTCTCCATTGGTTGAGACAAAGAACCTACCTCAATCAAGTGGGTACGTCGTTGACTAGAGCACACGACCATCTCATGTCCGCGTGCTCGTTCATTCCCAAGAATATGGGTCGTCATGCACAGTTTGATGATGGTTTCCAACCACGGAGTAGTCATCCAGTAGCCAGACAATACGAAACGCAAATTCATGCATCTTTGTGGTATCGGCGTATCGGAGATTCGTTTTCCGGAATTGGTCATTGAAACAATGTCCGAGCAAGGCTCTTCCGGGGTGCGGAATGTCGGCGCAGTGCTAGCTCGTCTTTTCACCATGGGGAAAGATCCGAGCATTCATGGAGTCAGGTTGCTACACGATCCACACGGCTCGTGCCTCTTTGCGTCTTACGGGGTTGAACTTCTCGTCGAAGGGATATCCGACAATCTGATCCATCTCGATACTACGATTCTAACTCTCATCGCTAGTGCAAGAAGCGCCTCAACCACAACTATCGTAGATCCCAAGTTCCAATGAAACTAAACACAACATCGCAATACGCTGCTTTAATTGAGCATGCGCTCAGGGATAAGGTAGAGCCGGAGGTGCAGACTTCGGAGGCCAGGGAAGCCATTGACCTGATACGCTTGACGTTGAAAGAACTATGCAAACGTGAGGGACCGGCGAAAGACATTCTGCGACGGTACATTAACGACGGCAACGCACTTTATTCCGAGATAGGCGACCATCTTGCTGACCATCAGCCCAACGGCATCGGATCGTCCTCAGACGGGCTAGAAGACCATGACTTTGATAGCCTTGCTCAAAAATGGGATGCACTGACCGAGAAAATGGTGGTTGCGTGCACTCGCTTGACCCAGTCAACCAAGCTGGCCCAGGATCATATCGAGCTGTATCTGCGCAAAGCTGCTGAGTGGGAATATGGCTATCTCAATGAGATAGAACAGCTTGAGCTCGAACAAAAGCCAAACCTAGTAACGTCACCGCCTGGTACCATTCGAACCATCACCAAGGATTTCCTGCAAAACTTCTTGAATTCCGTTCGCGGTCCGTTGACCGTACTCTCACTGGCACCGGTTGCTGGAGGCTACTCGAACCAGACCTTTCTATGCACCGTTGAGCATGAGAGTGGGAATTTCGAGCACTTGGCGGTGCGCAAGAGCAATCCTCGAGTCATTGCACCATTCTTGGATCTTAACCAGGAGTTCATCTTGCTGGAAGCGCTAGTCCAGGCAGGCTATCCAGTTCCGCGACCCATTGACCTTGGGCATCATGTTGACGGTATTGACGATACCTTCTACACGATGGAGAAGCTTAATGGGCGCCTTGCTGGCAGTTTCTTTGACTACGAGGCCAGCAAGTTGTCGAAGCCTGTACTTTTGAACCTTGCCGACCTGCTGGCACGTTTGCATCAGATCCCGTTGAATGCATTCGACCCTCTCATTAAGATATGCCGTGCTGAAGCGGTGAAGCACGAGACCGTTGAGGACTGCTGTCGACGCAACCTCAAGAACCTGCGCGAACACATGGAGAAGTTCGAGCATCTGTCCTCACCATACGTGATCTGGATGCTGAACTGGCTCGAACACAACATCCCCACAGACAAACGGCGGCCGGTAATGACACACGGCGATTTCAACGTTCACAATGTCCTGGCGGACTCCGATGACAAGATCACCGGGGTTCTGGACTGGGAGTGCGCGGAATTTGGGGCTCCAGAGCAGGACTTAGCCTACATGAAAGCCAATGTCTCCGCGCACATGAATTGGGACGAATTTATCCAGCAGTATCGTGCCAGCGGTGGGAGTGAGGTGAGTTCCCAATGCATGACGTTCTGTTACGGCTACACTGCCCTGCGTGTGGCCATTGCCCTGCTACGCAAGAACTGGGATATTCAACAATACAATACGGATGACCTGCGTTTCGTCCTTATTCAATTCAAGTTCACACATGGCATGTTCAAGTTAGGTCTGGATAGCATTTCTTCTCCTGGGACGATCATCAATAACGACAGTTTATGAAGTTATAACCCCAACTTTGGATCGCAGCGCGGGCGACTTATCTAGCAGCTGAGATGGTCCCGCAACCTGAGATGATAGACACACTCCGGCTCAGCGAATGGTGTAGTGTTTGAGGCGAATGACGATTGGTACTAGCTGTATATAGTCATGGGTATAGAATACAAAATACCACTTTCTTTGCGATCTACAATAGGAGGGCCAGGCAACGGTCAGGCAAAGGTTAAGCTGCAGGTTTTACTGAGTTGTCTCCTAACTAACATAGTGCCAGAACCGCAGAGAGTCGTCACTGGCTTCGCAAAAATTCCATGTCAAGAGATCATGTTGTTGATACGGCAGTCAATAGTGGAAGGGCTTTCGCCCCAAGAAGTGTTCTTTCCGAAATGTCAGCATCTCACAAAAATTGCTGCGCTGTGGTCATACCTCCGGAATACCTGCTTGTGTTTCAAAGACACTGTCATTTGGGAACGCCAACAGAGAGTCCCAGTTAAAGACGTCATCCAGCCATTCTGTCGCGTCATGCTGTGGAATATCTGTGGCATTGGCTTTGGAGGATGGGGCATGTAATGGGGCCTGAAGGTCTGCTCTGCTTGGGAACCTCCCCTCGCTCGTCGCAGTTCGCATCATCGTACCATTGTGGAAAGGACTAAAGCCGTTCTGAATGGCAGCATTGTTCAAGCCATTGTCGCATATGAAATCTCGAGCCCCCTGCGCTGAGATATCTTTAGGCTTGTTCCTGGATACGCTTAAGGAAGCAAGTCGTGCAAAATCCCTTACAAAGGGAAACGACAGGGCAGAGGACGAGGCGTAGTTGAAGCTTCCGAAATAGCCACAAGCAACGTCAATAAATGTGAGATCCATTTCTACCGTGGACAGATTGGGATACTTTAAAACATGCATGAAGATGTTGACGAGTCCGACCAGTGGGAAATAGAATGCGAGCCTAGAGCAGGAAGTGAGATCCAAAATCAGCTTATCGGATGTCACGGAGGCTGGGCTCATATGTACATCACACTTGAGGATACGGATGACGCAAAAAGCAGTAAAACCTTACGGCTTGGGCATGACTTACCAGACAGGACAGCCACAATCCACGTTGGCATACTTGGTGTATTTTATCATGGCCCGAGAAGCTTCAACCGCCAGCTCCCAACTCTGTTGTATTTGATCGCGATATAATCGGTTGTGTTCTCCCTCGAGATTCATATTCGCGTATGGCTGGATGAGTGATGAGTTGAGACATGCGACCGTCCCATAGTAAGCGTATCGCAGGTAAAGAATGTTGTACACGCTCACTTTCTCCAGCTTTATGTCCGTCCTGATCACATCCGTCGGTCGGAATGGGGAAGGGGCTAATCGTGCCCACTCGTCCAAGCGCTGATTTAGCTCGCGGACGCCCTGGAAGAGACTTTCAAAGTCAGACATTTTGTTCGGCAGACCCTGAACAAACTCCATTGTTGCACCTGAGATTTGCGAGATTTTGACCAGTTGAATGCTATATGCCAAATCCATGGCTGAGTTGAGAGGAACGTGTATGGGTATTTCGACAGTGATCCATCTATCGTCAATAACCTAGTGCACACGCATATTTCCCATCATCAGCGGTCCGCCTAGACGGGAAACAAATTCAGGTAGTATTTTGAACTCATACTCACAGGTGGTCGTCCCGATCGGAATGAGATGTGTTTGTCGTAGCAATACAACGACCAGAACAGCCACGACCTCTGGAGAGTCTCAGCTTCAGTAAGTCCCCACTGGGCAGACGGTTTTCTGTGCAATCCTTTTGACAAAGCTAACCGACAAGCACTTGAGCATAGCATGTACTCCAGCGACGGACTACCAATAGCTTCCATGTAGACAGCCTGCGCATGAACAAGTCAGCTAGCCATTTGGATCTTCCAACCTACAAAAGAAGGACATAACTGCTGTCTATTTTGGACTCGGAGAAGAGCAGTGAGTTGAATTTTGAAATAACGTACCATCGCCAGTAGAGCCTGAACTGCGGTGATCGAAGAGCGCAGGTATAATAGCTCCGTGTGGACGGATAGTGCATTGGCCATATATGGCCATGCCTCCGCGTGAATCTCCTGGAAAGTTTTCAACCCCTGCTCTTTCATAATAGCCCTATTCCCGATGGCGTAGACGGCATGACGAAGGGCATAGTACGATGGATCAGTGTCCACCGGGATTTTTGGGTCGTAGAACTTTCTTAGATGGGCTTCGAAGGAAGGGGGATGTACCGCCCCAAGGTGTGAGTCGGAATCTTTGAAGTAGGCTACCGAAGACCACAAGTCAGTTCTATAAGTGAAAGGAGTTTGCATACTGCTAAACCATTCAGGCCGTAGTAGCAGATGACTAGGCCTTTGTCCAAAGGCTCGTACCTCTAGTCAACTCCCATGCTACTTCTTCAGTAGGCTCCGCTTTCCGGCCAATCAAAGGCCATTGAGGCAATTTCAGGGACTTTACTGCGGTCACCGCTAATGAGCCCACCATTTTGTTGAAATCCGTTGCTCCTGTCTTCTCGGTCACCCATCGCGTAAGGGAGGGAGAGCAAATGGATAAGATGGAGCCGGCACCTGGAAGCTCTTGGAGTTAGCGGACTGGGGTTGATACATTCGAGCTCATCATCGCCTTCTAAAGTCGCCCTACCATGATATTCGCGGTACATCTGCAGTTCAAGAGAATCAGCTTCCGTCAGCTCGATTTTCGGTTGCTACTCACGTTTTCTTCAATTATTCCCCCGTCTACATCGCAAGATCCTTCGACCGAGGCAGTGGGTGCGCTCGGTTCTACAACTCCTCGGGCCATATTCCATGAGTGAGACGGGTCTTGGCCAGAGATGGCTGCTTGAGGTTCTACAGTGGGAGTGCCTATATCCATGTTTCGGTCCAGGGGATCCCAATACATTATCTCAGTGAATGGTGCACGGTCCTGCTCTGAACGAGCATGTGTAGTGGGGATCCGGCTTGCGTGAGGCATGGGCCTTTTTGGATCTGGAGATCGAGGCCGCTTTTGGCTCTGGAAGTCTGTGTTGATTGAATTGTTACAGTCCGGCATAGCTGAAAGCCCGACGTCGATAGCAGCAGCAGCCGAGCCACGCTGGCCCTCAACTTGTGGTTGAACGGCGGCTGTACCGAGCAAGGCCTCTACCTCAGCCAGTCTTTCTCTGAGCACTGTGATCTCTGAGTTAGCCCTGCGGATCTACACCGGCGAGCGCTCAGTCCTAGCCGTAGAAAGCTGTACGTACGTCTGGTGGCAGCTGCAGATGAACGGGTAGGCCTCGACGTGCGATAAACGCAAGTATTGTCGTGTCGCTTATAATTGTCAGCAGTTGTCCTCCTCGCAAGATGCGCGTTAAGCTAGTCCTACGGAGCAGTATGTGCATGGCTGTCCACCATCGCCTGAAGCGACAAAGAAACGATATGTCAGCGCGTGCAACATCTATAGCCGCCTATTCAAGGTTAAGTGGAGGGCAACGAACACTTCACCTTTTTTTCCCGACATAGATCGCATGCCTGGACGCGTTTTCGATCCTGGAATGTGGGCATGATGGTCAAGAGATGAGTGTTAGAGAGGGAATGACCTTTGGGCAGTGGCGTAGAGGTCAAGTGAACAATATCGCTCGTCTTATGGGGTTGTGGGCAGCCGGAGTAGACTAGGGGCCAAGTGCGGGGTCGAACTCTAACTAGGGCACGTCCCCAGTCTCCGGTGACTATTTTCTAATCTGTCATTACATCGTATAATATGGGATTAATATTGTTCCTTCTTAGAGTTTTCCGTGTCGCACTTTGTAATTACTAGTTAGTGTCTTTTGAGGTGCAGGGAATTCGACTTAATTAGGTTCGATTCAAAAGTCAGCCATGTTCTCGGGACGTGGAAGTCGGAGTCGGCCCCTGCTGACGCTCCTAGTTCGTAACTTCTCACGCGGCACATGAACGGTACTACGTAGAGGTATGCCTTTAAATGGCGGCTTAGCCGCGGCATGAAGCATTCAATGCACCTCCAACCTACATCTCTTAAGAAAATGATCAAAAGCATAGAAAGGAGTTGGACTTCGTGTTGTGAAGCTGCCTGCTTGGCCTAAGTCCGCCTTGGTGGCAGAGAGCTTAGTCTAACTTAGTCTAGCGAACTAGTGCATCGTCTGAGAAGTCTACCCGAGGTAGATTGAAGCACGCTACCTCATCGGTAGGTGGATATATTTCCTGAATTTTTAGCCCACCAGGTGATTTCGGACATCAACTCTCTTTAGGTAGATTATTTCCCGGCTCGAAGCTAGTTAAGACTGTATGAAAATCAAGCTGAAGAAGTCGATGGGCTCAAACAATCGTGAGATCAATGAACGAGGAACTATCAGTGAAAAGCGGTATGTCTAAATGCATGACGCGAACATCCCCCTTTAAAATAACGATTTTTACATTTTCCATACAGACGAATTAGGAATCGAATATCACAATAGGCGTTTCGAGCTCGCCAGAATTGGGAGGTTGCCGAACTCAAGCAACGGCTCGTTTAGTTTAACGGTTCAGAAAGTAATCGTAATCAGCTTATAGCCCAGGAAAATCACCGATTACGAGGCCGACTATTCCAGTGCGAACAAAAGCTTCGAAATCCACAGGCTACGCTAAGCGGTGTCATGGATCCCATGGTAGAAATAAAGATTTTCCGGTCGTGTCTACTTGTCGCTAGGCTAGTCCTACCGGGTAATACTAAAGTAGTGTAAGCACATATAACATAATACTCTAGAAACCCCTAGCTCCGTTCTAAATATTAGCGTTAGTAGTTAGAGTTAACCACTAATCTTAGACTACCTCTATCAAGATTTCTTCGTTTTATTGCCGTTCGTAGGTTAATTATTACTTATCTTCCTAGTTAAAACCTAGAGGCCGATAGATAAAAACATTATAAAGATAGATCGCATTACGACTATAACGAGGAGTAAGAAGTATAAGTCGATTAAGCTTACTTAGCGCCTAGATTATACTATAGACCGAAAACGGCCTAGGGCCGTAGGGTTAAGCGTCCCCTAGAAGACGCTTTAAGTTCTCGGGTAGGCGAGAGGTCGGAGTATTCTCCGGTAAGGTAACTCCTAGATAGCGTCTCCTCGAGGACGCTCTTTAAATAGATAAGTACTACTTTTCTTCTCTACTAGCGTCCCTTTATTATAACCCGAGCTATAAGTAGTTCTAACTAAGGTAGGGTTCCTTAATAGAGTAGGTACTAGAGTATTAACTAAGATAATAAAGGAAATATATAATCGTCGGACTATATCCTAAAATATAGGTATAGAATTACTAACGAAGTTAACTACGAACTATCCTAGTATAGGTAGCGAGTAGATATATATATTACTAGTAGCTCTCCGGAATCTCGTAGCCCCCTTAGATTTCTTAAGATTCTATAGAATCTAAGGAGTCTAGGAGATCTAGCCTTCCCTAGTTATATAACTTAGCCTCGTTCTCTATCGGCTAACTTCCTCCCTAGGTAGGTACCTTAATTCCCTTAGTAACCTTTTAAGTAACTTAGTTCGTAATACTATCCTTCTTCCTTCTAGTCGTTATTCTTAACGTACTTAAGGCGAGTCTTCTCTACTTTTATCTCTTTCTTTTCCTATAGCTAACTATATCGCCTATAGGTATTATTAAACGTTCCGAGTCCTCTACCGTTCGTTATTAACGTACTACGCTTAAAATTAAAACCCTTAAAAGGAAATACGAAGATATAGATCGTTATACTCCCTACTAAAATATAAATATTATTTATTTTATACTAGATAGTTATACGCGCTATAATAATTATACGCGTAATAATCGAAAAGATTATAATAGAGTATTTTCTAATACTAAGTTCGAGGCTCTTTTAGCTAAGCGTAGTCGTTTAGTCGAGGCCGCTCGCTAGAAAGGCGAAGAGATTCGTTAAAAGAGTAAAGAGATATAGCGCCTACTTTCTTCTATTACTTAGGCTAACGCCGAGCGTAAGCGTTTCGAGAAGGAAGCCGAGTAGTTACTTAAGAAATAAAAGAAAATAGTTATTTAGAAGGCCTATATTCTAGACGCGCTAGATTATATTAATTCTCCGCCCTAGGCTTTCTCTACTATTTTAGTCGGCCTAGATAACGCTTAGCTTAAAGATATTTTTAATCTATCGCCGAGTTCTTTAGCCTACTTCCTAGGTTCTATTCCTTTAGATTATTCGATAGTTCGATAATATCGAACTATAAGCTTCGAGTTAAGGTTTATTTTCGGTTCCTACGTATTCTCCTCCTCTAGATATTCTAACTATTTAATTAGGTATTCTATTTAGTAGCCTTCTTACCTATATTAAATTATAGTTTCTATATTATAATAGGATTCTTAGGTTTCCTTATTAATATATACTAGTTCTAGTCTAGCTTCGTCTAGTACCTTCTCTAATAGTAATTTATAGAATACTAGATATATATT